TTTTTTTTTGTTTTTTTTTTTTTTTTTTTGCCTATTACGGATACGATTTGTATTTTTCGTGGTTTCGATTGCGGAGGATTCGGGATTTTCGATTACAGAGGTTACGAAATTATGATCTTGGACTCTTCGTTTTATTCCTCGTCATATTCTATCTCTTCTCTACGTGAGGAGGCAGGGGATGAACCTGATATTCAAATTTATGTGTTGGCAGAAGCAGAGGAGGACGGAGAACTCTGTACGTCATTGAGATTGGTTATATGATAACAGAGAGGGGAAGAACGCTTGCTCTTGATGAAGTGATTGTTGGGGCAAAATTAAAGCAATTGGTCCTGTCATTGTGGCCGGTGGGATTTTGGCATCTGCTAGGAAGACTGGTATGATTCCAAGCCCTATGCTGTAATGTTGAATTTTTTGTTGATGTTTTTGGGTGTCTGTGAAGTAATTGTTGTTTTTATTTATTTATTATTGTTTGTTGGCTGTGAAGTTGTGTATTGTAGCTTTAACATTGCAGTCAAATACACAAACAGAGCAGGGATTATGTGATGTTATATTTTTCAGTATTTGCTTGTCAAAACCATAAGTTCTGGAAAGTATGATTTGATGTACTCTTATTTTTTATTTGTATGTGATTTCAAACGTAAGTGAAGTGTTTTACTTAAATTTCTGCACTAATTAGTTCTAGGGCCCTAATAGTTGAGGTGAGTGGCTGCTTCAAAGCTAGCCAGCCAATACATTTGAGACCAAGTTTGAGGTTATCTTGTTGTTTTATGCATTTGTGCACACACTTACAGATTTTCAAACTAGTTATTTTTTTTATGATTGATGAAGTTTGTTAGGTTTCATTTTGCTCTTCATCTATTGAATTTTTGAGAATAAGCTTTTTGGTTTGCTAACATTCCCGTAGGTCATAATCATGAACGATATGAGAGACTGATTTGAGCCCAATGCAGAATGATAGCAATCAATTTGTTGATATCGAAGGTACTTTAAACATTTCTTTGTCTAACTTAATGATTTGTCTGTATTGAAGATAAACGCATAATTATCTTTTTCATTGATAATATCATGCAGGACGGTCTGGTTCATGTAAAGTTTGTAGCAAACAGTTATAGGTGCATAAAATATAGCCACTCGATCCACAGAGGTAAGCCATTGTTTTTACATCACTTTTACCATTCCAATTACGTAGAAAATTGTCCTCCCAAGGGAGTGAACGTAATAGGCAATGAAAGAAAGCATCCAAAAATAATTCTAGTGAACAAAATAAAATGATCCTGTGGTCAAAAGAAGCTAAAGGATCCAGTGGTCACTTGACAAGGTGCAAAAATGTTTGAATGGGCTTTGGAAATTGAATGACACTATAAAATTATTCACGATAAACCATGTTGGATTATTTTGTGCATATGCAATAAAATGATATAATTCTTGATGCAAAATTTTCAAAGTTGATATTTGGTGCCTATTTAACTCCGTGCATGAAAGTTATAGGTTGGCCTACCAAATTTGGATCATGCAATATTATTTTAGATTATTCTATTCATACAATTTAATTTATAAGAACAACAAGCTAGAATGAGTTCTATTTACACGTCTAACTTTACCAAATGTTCACTTTCAGTGGTTTCTAATTATCCATATCTCATCAGTTTGACATTATTTCTCATATTTCATTTGCTAATGCTGAAGGTTTTGGTTAGTAACTATGTTGTGAAAATTTCAGATGGAAATGGAGGATGTAGATGAAGACAATAAAGTTGAGGTCATTCTACAAGGAATCCAACTCCGTTTGCTACTTTCAACGCTCCATCATGTAAGTAATTTTCTACTTGACATCATGAACTACCATATATGTGACTGCAATGATATGGTCCTAATAAGGTTAGGTTACTATGTTTAATCTTTATTATGTCTTTGTTTCAAGAGTAAATGGTTAAACTACGATAAAGGATTGTAATGAATGTAGTTGAAGGAGGTTCATGAGTAATGAATTAAGTTACATTTATGGGTGTTTTAGGTGTTGGGAATAGTTTTTCATTTTTTATGTTTCAAAGGAAAAGTGAAGCATTCGTTGAGATCAAATGAAAGAATACAAGAGGAACACTAGAAACCACCCAAAGAGGAGCCCAATTGACCTGAAAAAAATGCTCCAATCAAACGAAATAAGACTTAAGGGTAATTACAAAAAATTGTAAACATCCTCCCACACAGACGTGTGATCTAATAAGGCTACACCTCACCCCAAGGTCTTCCGATCTCTTTAAAAATCCTCTGGTTTCTTTCAACCTAAAAATCCCATAAAATTGCAGAAAACAACCTCTTTCTTTTGAAAAGGGGATGAAGAAGAAGCTCTTCCACCATGGAACTACAACCTGTAGGTTGGGCAAGACCACAGGAGAGATGGTTTAGATCCTCGGTCATTCCTTACTAAAGATACAACACTAGGGCCTAATCTAAGGGGTGAATTCCCTTTTGTTTAAAGAGTTCTTGTGATTCTTTGAATTGGAGATCATGATTAAGCAGCAACTAAGGAGATTTATTTTAGGGCAAGTGAGGAAACCTCCGTTATTTGTGTGATAATGAGGAAAGAAAGATTGTAAAGATCAGCAAATTGGATGAAGTTTTATAAGAATAGACAAAGATATATCCTTAGGATTGTTGACGATTTTCCATGGATATTGATATGAGAAGATAACATTAGAGGTTATGTTCTAAAAGGGAAAAAGACATATGAAGCATGGAGTATGGTGGATAGAGGGCTATGTATTGAATACAAAGCCAAAATAAAAAATTGGATTGAATTGGTCTATAAGCTGTATAATGGACAATCTTTTGGGTTTGTTGAGTTTAATAGTTATGTATATAAGGAAGAAGGAAGGTAAGTTTGGACAAGAGATTAGGTTTGTTGAGTTTAATGATTGAAGAGTTCTTGCCATTCTTTTGATGAAAGATTAACAAAAGGCTTATGAAGTGTTAAGATAATGCACATAGACCTTGGAATTGGCGGTGATTTTCGATGGAGATTCATATGAGAAGATAAAAACAAAGATTATGTGCATAAAAGGGGGAAGATAGAATTGCCAATGATTTGTCATGGAGATTCATATGAGAAGTTAAAAGTAAAGATTATGTACATAAAAAGTGGTAATACAGAATTGCCGATGATTTGTCGTGGAGATTCATATCAGAAATTTTTTTGTGGATGGAGGACTATACGTCGCGATAGCCATATGGATCGTAAAAAGAGGTTTGTGAAATGTTAAAGAAAGGAAGCACTGGAATAAAAGAATTTGGGTAATTGGTACTCAAGAAAAGTTACATTCTATTTGGTCTATAAGTTAGATACTACTAGTCAAATCTCTTAGATTTTATAAGTTTGATGGTTAGGTATGTAAGGAAGGAGAGAAGATAAATTTGGATATGAGATAAATTTGGAAAGAATGAGATTGGACAACCAACTTTTTGATAATGGACAATCTTTTGAATTTTTTGTTAATGGTTATGTAAGAAAAGATGGAAGAAAGATAAGTTTGGATACAAGAATTTTGGTTTAAAGTATGAGATTGGAGTTCAAGTTATGATTGATGATTTCTTTCAATTCTTTGGATCGAAAATAATGTTTGAGGTGGTATTGTCTTATAAGGTTTAATTTGATTGCGGCAAGTGAATAAAGTATGACGATGAAATCTCTTATAATAACGTTCTTTGGGTTTTCTTGAAAAATTGATAAGATGATATCCTTACTTAAATGAGGAATAAGATCCACTTGGTGTGGTAAATGGAGGATTATAGGTTGGAATAAACAATTGGAAAGTGATATTGTTGGATTCAAGGAATGAGATGTCATACGCCATTAGAAGAATGAATATTAATCAAGGACAATATGAAAGCGACAAATTATTTGGATCAAGGAATAAGGGATGACAAAAAAGTTAACTTGGTCCAACATCTACTGGCCTCCTTGGATTTTTATATTGGACGATCTTTTGAGCTTTTTTTGTTTATTGTTATGTATGAAAGGACTTAAGAAATATAAGTTTGGATACAAGAATTTGATTTAAAGTATGAGATTGGAGTTCAAGTTTTGATTGATGGTTTCTTTCCATTCTTCGGATCAAAAACAATGTTTGAGGTAGTATTGTCTTATAAGCTTTAATTTGGGGCAAGTTAATAAAGTATGACAATTCGTTCTATGGGTTTCTTTGAAAAATTGAATGAGATGATATCCTTACTTAAAAGAGGAAAAAGATCCATTTGGTGTGGTAAATGGAGTACTATGTTGGAATAGACAATTGGAAAAAGATAAATTGTTGGAATCAAGGAATAAGATGTCACAAGAATCCAGAACAATTGGAAAGTGAAAAAGTATTTGGATCAAGGAAGAGAAGGGATGACAAAAAGAGGTTTGTGAAATTTTGGAGGAAGGAACCACTAGAATAGAAGGATTTGCTAAATTGGTGCTAAAGAAAAGTTAACTAGGCCGAACTTCTACCCACCTGCTTGGATTTTTATAATGGACGGTCCTTTGAATTTCTTTTGGTTTATGGTTATGTATGAAAGGACGGAAGAAAGATTAGTTTGGATACAAGAATTTGGTTTAAAGTATGAGATTGGAGTTCAAGTTATGATTGAAAATAATGTTTGAGGTAGTATTGTCTTATAAGGATTAATTTGGAGCAAGTGAATAAAGTATGACAATGGTGAAATAGGGTACTTTCCTATATTAACGTTCTATGAATTTTCTTGAAAAATTGAATGAGATGATATCCTTACTTAAAAGAGAAAAAAAGATCCACTTGATGTGGTAAATGGGACTATATGTTGGAATAAAGAATTGGAAAACAATAAATTGTTGGAATTAAGGAATAAGATGTCATAAGCCGGTAGAAGAATGTAAGGACAATTGGAAAGTGAAAAAGTATTTGGATCAAGGAAGAAGGGATCACAAAAAGAGGCTTGTGAAAGGTTTGTGAAATTTAGAAGAAGGAAGCACCCGAATAAAAGGATTCGCTAAATTGGTGTCAAAGAGTAGTTAACTTGGCTGAACTTCTACCCTTCTGTTTGGATTTTTATAATGGACGATCCTTTGAATTTCTTTTGGTTTATGGTTATGTATGAAAGGATGAAAGAAAGATAAGTTTGGATACAAGAATTTCGGTTTTAAGTATGAGATTGGATTTCAAGTTTTGATTGATGGTTTCTTTCCATTCTTTGGACCGAAAATAATATTTAAGATAGGATTTGTTAATAAATTGGTGCTAAAGAAAAGTTAAATTTGCTGAATTTCTACTCGCCTGCTTGGATTTTTATAGTTTGACGGTTATGTATGTAAGGATGGAAGGATGATAAGTATGGATATGAGAATTGTGGGTTAAAGTATGAGACTGGACTCCCAACTTTTTAGTAGAACAATCTTGGAAATTTTTTTAGATCACGAAAGACAAGTTTGTTTGGATACAAGAATATTTGTTTGGACACAAGAATTATGATGATGAGAGCTTAAAAAGGTCTATTAATTTCCTCAAAGAATTAAATGAGAGGATATTCTTATTTAAAGAGGAAAAAGATCTGAATGAACTTTGGACAATTGGAAAATGAAAAATTTTTGAAATCAAGGAATAAGATGTCATATCCCTCGTGTAGAAGAATTTGAATCAAGGACAACTAGAAAATAGAGAATGGTTGGAATCAAGGAATAAGGAATTGAACCATCTTTGAATTCTTTTTAGTTTAAATTTTGTGTATAAAAGAACGGAAGAAAGATAAGTTTGGGTGAAAGAATTTGAATCATAGACAATTGAAAAGAGGTTCGTAAGTTTGATAATGGACCATTGTTTTTGTTTGTGTGGGTTTGATGGTTACGTAGGTAAGGAAGGAAAGAAGATAAGTTTGGATTAAAGTATGAGATTCGATTTCAATTTTTTGTTTGAGGATTTCTCGATTCTGTATTATGATGACAGGGTAATCTTAACCCTGCCTATGTTTCCTTGAAGAAAATTTGCAATGTGGATGGGAGTGTTGTTTAGATAATGGGACGAAGTTTATTAGATCTAAACGCTGAAGAATTCTTTGGAGCATCTATTTTGAAATAACATGTAAATCATGTTAAAGGAAGGAATCAAGGGAATAAAAGAACTCGCTTAATTGGTATTAAAGAAAAGTTACTTTCTATTTGGTCTAAAAGTTGATACTACTGGTCAATCTCTTAGATTTTATAAGTTTGATGGTTATGTATGCAAGGAAGGAAATGAAAGAACGGATGGAAGATAAGTTTGGATACAAGAATTTTGGTTTAAAGTATGAGATTGGAGTTCAAGTTATGATTGATGATTTCTTTCCATGTTTGAGAGTAGTATTGTCTTATAAGCTTTAATTTGGGGCAAGTGAATAAAGTTTGACGATGATGAAATAGGGGACTCTCTTATAATAACGTTCTATGGGTTTCCTTAAAAAATTGATAAGATGATATCCTTACTTAAGTTAGGAATAAGATCCACTTGGTGTGGTAAATGGAGGACTATATGTTAGAATAGAGAATTGGAAAACGATAAATTATTGGAATCAAGGAATAAGATCTCATAAGACATTTGAAGAATGAAAGAATATTAATCAATCAAGGACAGTTGGAAAGCGAAAATTATTTGGATCAAGGAATAAGGGATGATGAGAAAAAGTGGTTTGCGAAATTTTAGAGAAAGAAAACACACTAGAATGAAAGGATTTGCTTGAATTGGTGCTAAAGAAAAGTTAGACGGAAGAAAGATAAGTTTGGAAACATAAATTTTGGTTTAAAGTATGAGATTGGAGTTAAAGTTATGATTGATGATTTCTTTCCGTTCATCGGATCGAAAATAATGTTTGAGGTTTTATTGTCTTATAAGGTTTAATTTGGGGCAAGTGAATA